TTTAGATTACATCACTAATTTGGGACCTTGTTTCGGCAGAATCCCAAATTGGTTTCGGTAGTTTGGGATTCGGCACATGACGAAACTATCGGGTTTGGGTGACATCCCTAGCTAACAGTCGTGATCTCAGACGTGGTCTTCAAAATTTTGGCTCGCCTTACATAACATAATTTTTGGCCGGAATTAGCTTTTTAACTTCATTCCAAAAATATAATTTTTTAGAAATAGACCCGCACGATGGTAAAATTAGCCTAGGAACGTTTTTCACTTAATGCACGATTGTGATTTCATTAGTAAAACAGTAATTTTGCCTAAATTTTTGATAGTCACTCTTAGCTAATCAAAATTAAGAACCTGCTTGACAAATTTGTGCGGTAACCAGGTCAAATCTATCCCTTCACATTTGTATAACAAAAAATTTTTCCAATTTTGATTGCCTATTTATTTATTTTGACCTAGATAACTAAGATATTAAAGCAAATTCATCTGAGAAAAAAGTAAACAAATATAAAAGCGAGTTTAGTATGTCGAAATACATGTATTTCGTTCTAAATATCCTATAATTAAAACGTGTTTCTTTATTCACAATAGCTCGAATTATGTGTCAAGTAATATTTCTTTTGATAAGTTTAATTTAATTCTAATATTATGTCGGAAATTTTATCACCATGGTTCATAATTACGAGATTCAATCAACAAATGAAAAATGAAGAATATAGAATAATGGATATCTAAACAAACTTTCACATTAATAAAAAAAAAAATGGTAGAAAAATTTTGTCGTAATTTTAACCGATTCTATTTATAGTCTTATTTATAGTCAGTTTCTATAAATGCTCACATTTTGATACTCTTCTTAAGTGTAGTTTTAATAAATACACTATAAATGAGCATGTTTTATAAATGGAGATGTTATGACTTATTCAGCTTTATTCATTAGTCAGTTTTTATAAAGCTAAATATGTAATCTGGTCAAGTTGATAATATAAATAAAATGCACGTCATCTATAAACACGTTTTATAACGTATTTATGAAAGGTTGACTATAATAATAATTTTTAAATTATGACACTGCACCTTTTTAATTTCCTTCAAATAATATTGTATCTCTTTTTAATAATTATTAGATATCCCTAAAGAACTGCTAAATAAGTACTTTTCTATGGATTACCATTTGGAATCTTTGGAACGCTTTGTTGGACATTGTCATTTGGTAGTATTGTTTTAACAAGAATAGAATGTTCTTTGTTTTCACCGTGGTTATGGAGCAAGCCTTATAAAGCTCAAAGTCCATTCATGGCATTTATCGTGACTGTAATTACTGTAGGGTCAGTTATTTATACATGTATTCATTATCATGGAGAATGGATGATAGTGCTTATTACACTCGGATAACTAACTCCATGGGGTCTAAAGTTCATACATGATGTTATGATTGGAAAAGATCATTCTGGAGATGAAATAACCGGGTTCTTTTACTGCTTTGGTATTTTCTTTGGAATATTGTGATCTGAGTAGGCTTGACTGTGGCCCTCTCCCTTTTTTGGTAGAAAATATTTGAAATTCTTCGGGGTTGATGTCCATTAAGTTGATGAACGCCGAACAAGCATTGAATCATTGGATATAGGAAATATATGTAGTACCTACCTCTATTACTATTATTACTATTAGGTTTTTTTTGTTGTAAATAAGTAAATTAGTATTTTTTATTTCCATTATCATGAGCTTTCATATCATAGGATCACACATAATTCTTGCTATAATTTCCAATAGCCGGAGTGGAATTGCTCCCGCTGAAGCTTGAATGGCATCAGCAATTATTTTCTTTATTAGAAACGTTTATATTATTCATAAATTATCATATTCATTGTTGTTGTTAATTTATATTCTAAATATTCATATATTCTAGCCAAATTGCAATGAAAATAATCCATTAGCATTATTTAAAAAAATATTTTCTGATGTGAACACTTACAATTATAAAACACCAATATATTGACTAATAAAAAATTTGATAACATACATGAAATAATAAGCTGGAACCTTAATTATTATTTAAAACACTATTAAATTTTACGAATATTGTTGTTGCTTTTAAGTTACATTTAAATCAATTTATAAAGAAAGCAATTTCTCTTTTTCATTAATCTTTATTTTTTTATTTTATAAAGGTCAATCAATCACTAGATATTATAAAATAAGGTTAGTACTTAACAAATAAACCTGATTTAGGTTCAATTTTTTTTGATTTTGAGCCTAAAACATGATCAGTTGAACCAGGGCTGGATATTTCTGAAAATTTATAGAGCATACCCTGAAGTCTCTTCGCTTTCTTCGGCTTCAGCAAATAATATTTATTATGAGCAAAGTAATACGTTATATCAGAGGCTCTAAAGATTTTGGGTAACGTGAAAACTTGATGTAATAATTGTTTGAATTTTTCTTCAAAAATTAAAGATATCACGAAAATTATTATGATAATTTACATCATTCGAGTAGGTTTCAAATTCTAGAAATCAATAACATTTGAAATTTCCCTTGAACATCGCGAATAGTTTGGTTATTCCTAAGATATTTTCGTTAACATTAAAAAGTAATGTCATTAAGATTTTAAAAATCTTAATAAAATTATCTCAAGAATAATCTGACCATTTGCGATATTCAAGAGCAATTTCGAATTATATAGATTTTTAAAACTATGCAGAAAATCTACTTAAATGCATAAATTTGGGCAATTGTTAAAAGTTAAAACTTAGGATTTTTCGCTACAAATACGATTTGTGTCACTATGTGAAATATTAAAACGTTTTGTATTTATCAAAATTGGTTTTTCATGTCAATGAATGACATTATATGTATCTTCAGCGTTTATTTAAAGACCTTTTACTCTTCCTTATCAACTTCAATTCCTTTTCATGACTAAATCTAATGTTAAATATTATTATGCATAATCAAGGTCTGCTAATTTCTTAGATATTCACTTTCCTAGGATTGCAATAAATTTTTAATTGTAAATTTCCTGCAAAAAGACATTAAAAACTATAACAGCTATAGGATCTAATTCATATAGTACATGGTATATATATGCTTTTTTTTATGACTATTAATTGCTTACAAACTCATTCCCATATTATTACTAATAAAAACCGCTAGCTAAAGAGAGACTGTCCTAAAAAATTTAACAGACCAAATAGGGTAATTTTATAATCATAGCAGAATGATATATATATTCGGAATGTAAATAGAAGTATATAAAAACATCAAGTTTTTAAATGTAAAAATAAAGATTGCTAATTCTAAAAAATTTTCTTTAAATAAAAATAACTAAATTCAGTAAAAAAGTTTTTGTAAATATATAAATTCTATAAATTTATATAAAATTCAATTAAAAAGATTTTTGTATGTTTTCGTTTCTGGTTTTTTTTAAATAAATTTTGATGTGCTTGTTAATTTTTAGGACTAAATTCTGATCAAATCCGGCTTCAAACAATTTTAAATAGTGGCACAGCATACTCTTCTCCAAGAATTGATAGACTTGCATATTAATAATATTTAATTTCAATCAGTACGTGCTACGAAACACTCAACATTAACTTAGGATCTTTTATTTACTAAAAGTATTACATTCACCATTTAGATAAAACTATTTATTCTCATGTAATATATAACTTCTTGTTTCAAAATTTCAAGTACAAAAGAAAATAGCTCATTGATGAAATTACTCAAGTTATTAACTATCAAAAATCAGCCGATACGAATAATGCGGATGAAATATTCCGGATTGGAAAGGATAAGAATTAAACATTTATTTATTAACAAAATGTTGCAGAGATGAATAATTCTAACAGAATATATCAATTTGGCTATTTGTTATTATTTAGGAATTGAGGTTAAATAAATAAGCACAAGGTATTTTCGAATTATCTGAATCAAATGAAGCAGGAATTCTACGGAAATTTTTAAATCTGCATTTGTTACAACCACAGAATTGATGTGGAAGAAAGTAAAATTAATTGGTAAAATATTTGAATTTTACATTTTAAGATTGAAATTCTTAAACTGTTTAATTTTTTTTAAAAGAAATATAATGAACAATCATATTAAATACAAATATTATTTTGGTTGCAATAGCTTATAATAATTTCTATTTAAATAATTTGATAAAAAATATTTTGCTCGATTAATCTAGTCCGTAAGTGTAAAGAACACTTGTTAATATAAGCAATGAAGATTTACTATCTAATTTCAGTATTTCTGCGTTAATTTAGTTTGTGAATCTGAAAATATTTATTGATCTAAGTATTTAAATAAGCTATTTAAGTCCAAGAATATTTACTATTCAATTTTGTTCATTCAGATTGTAAGTATAAAGAATGCTTTAATCTAAATAAGCAATTTAAGTTCATAAATATTTATATTTAATTTCAGTTAATTCGAGTCAATTTAGTGTGTATATAATGAACATTTATAAGTCCAAGTATTTAAAATGAATTACTCATAATTTAATTTAATAAATATTTCTTGATAAAAGTAATTAAAATTAATCTCTTCAAGTTCATGAATATTTTATTTACGTTAATTTAGTACGTGAGTATAAAGAACATTTATTAATAGAAGTATTGAAAATAAGCTGTTTAGCTCACGAATGTTAACTATTTAATTTCATTTCATTTATATTAATTTAGTTGGTAAATACCGTATTAAAAACATTTGTTATTAATCAAAGTATTTAAATAAGCTAATCAAGTAATCAAGTTAACGGATATTTACTATTTCATAACAGTATTTTATTAACGTTAATTATAACAATGTTTGATAAAATATAGATGAGAAAACCTACTATAGATATAAATAACAAAGTACGTAAATAAAACTGTTTCATTTCATAACAATATAAAATATATGTATTTAGAAGTTAATGATTTCTTTATATACTATAAGTTGGTACTTAAAGTTTCCAGGTAATATATGTAAATAGCGAAATTTACATTTGAAGTTGTTGAATTTGTTGTTGGAGTTGTTGAATTTGTGTTTGGAGTTGAGTAATTTTATCTTGATTTTCCTTTTTCAAAGCAAGCTTTTCCTGATATACTCTTCTGCAAAGATAGTGTCCCCAGAATTCTACCCAGTATTCCTGTCCCTTACTATAAACATTTGTTGTGACTGTTTTAAATGCATTTTTTATCGTCTCATCAAAGAGATTTGCGGATTGAGTTTCAATTCCTTCAAAATTGTCAAGTTTATTAATGTATGCTTTTGCAGCTTCTTTTACTTGGTCATTTCTTGTTGTTCCAAATGTGTAAGTTATTTCCTGAATGAAATGTTCAGCAATTTCTTCTTTCTTCTGTTCTGATAATTTTTTGCTCATTTTAGGGAGTTCTTGTGCTTTGAGTTTGATAATTTCTTGTTTGAGTTTGAAAAAGTCGTAAGGTTGGTTAGAAAGAATTAGTTGCGCAAGTTCTTGAAGTTCTGATTTTTCTTTTAATCCAGCTCGACAAGTATCTCGAATTACTTGGGCAAATAATGGATTATTGCCATCAGTATCCCAACAGAATTTAAGCAACAAGTATTTATTTCAGGAGTGCTACCATAAAAAGAAAAATCAGTAATCCCAGTTCCAAAAGTACTCATATTCGTAATTTTGTTAAGGGTGCTAATTTTAAACTTTTCAATAGGGGATTATTTCCAACAGCTACAAGAGTTAGATTGGGATATTTTGACAAGTCTAAATCACCTTCCAGGTTCTTGCTAATAACACCAATTTGGCTAACATTTTTATCAAAATTATTTTCAACATATTCTTGTGCATTTACCATGTTTGTTAATACCTGAAGTTTGAAATTAAAAGTAAATAGGGAAAAAATCGATTATTTTAGAGGTCTACTTAATTTATCTATCGACGAAATGTAATAATGCTTTGAATGTTTTATTTAAGTAACCCGTGCAGGCAGATAAAGTAGCGTCACATGAGAAAACATATGCATTTAGACAATTTTGGAATAATTAGATATTTACTAATAATAACTTCATTGTCAGTTTGAATATAAAGAAGACTTATATATAACATCCTACCAAAGGCAAAAAAGCGAGATTCGCAATTAAACCCACTCATCCTAAGCCATTTTGTGGTGCCTTAAAACTTCATGTCAAGTCAGCCCGCTTAAACATAGTGTGGGAGACCACCGGATAACAAACACTACACATCACGAATTCAGCTGATGACGTGTACCTGGCGCAATTACAGTTGATATTTCTGGGAGCATCTCAGTTTGTATATTAATAGCGCCTAAGGTATGTGCATATTTTCAATCGAAAATCATTTAATAAAGATTAATATATGACATTATTAGCCAGATGTTTCCAATTAATAATAATAATAAATATGTCATTTGCGTGCAATGTTTTTCGAATTTATTCGTAAAAAATCATAATGATGCCTGATAAAACTGACGAAACTTAATGAAATGTGCGGTCATTAAAAAATAGTTCATCAGACATAAAAAATTTAAATAGAAAATGGTATGAGTTATTGAAATTGTTAAAAAGTTCGTTATTAGTACAGTATAAACGACTTTCATGACTGCATGATTGTGAAAATTTTTTAACTAAAAAAGGATGAATGTCTTTCCGTTGGGTACTGTAAATGAATACAGTAGAGAAGCATAGCGGGCTTTCATTGTAATTGGCTGATTTTTGTAGATCATCCCGTGATATTGCAAAAATATCATTGGTTAA